CCCACTTCACACGCGAGAGTCTCGCGTTGATAATGCCCACGTGTGAAGTGGGCGAAACACGTGTTCGCTCATATAAAATTATTTGTGGTAATTAGGGGTGAGTATTCCTTTTAATTTTTTAATTAATATTTACCACAGTCTCCTCCTTCTATTCTGTTTGTATGTCTATTACTTACTCACTGATCCCTGCTTTTAAATATTTAATCTACGCCCCTGATAGGAATACTGAAGAATGAGGGCTGCAATCTTTATACCTAAAACTGCCTACTTTTGTCCCTACGGTTTCTGTTAATTGAACGTCGGTCTATTTGTCCCTGTAGACTACGTGGCGTTGTGTATTATTAGTAGCTCACACCTTACACCCTCCACTTTCTTTTTCTCTGAAACTGTTCGAAATATTTTCTGAATTTTAACTAGGATAAGAAGTTATAACCAGTATAGCATTAGCATCAATATTGTTCAAACTATCTTCGAGTTATCTTTATCTGTCGAACTTTAATCAATCTATCTCAATTTACATAATATTTTCAATTATCAAGTAACAGCAATAATATAGTTAACCATTTCGATTAAGTTAAGTCAGTTTGTATATAGTGTAAAGTACGTTATTAAATATATATACTATAAAAAGGACTATTATTTCATCTCAAAATCGACATCAACATAACAATATCAAGCAAAACTACCTTAATCGTAGTAAAATATTGTTAGGGAAATAAAATAAAGGCGAAATCTATAGTCCACCAGACGATTCGTGCTTTTATTTTTTGGTAAGTTTTTCTATGATTGTTACGATTTCAGCTTTTATAATCGCAGGTATCTCGTACCTATTCTACAACGTACTTTTTTGTTCCATGGGAACTTGGACTATAATAACAATCTTCGTTCCTATCATAAGGTGAACCGTTAGGGTTTGACCATTCGATTTTCAGCTTTTACTATATTGGTTACAAAAATATGCCGTCCTTTTACAAACCAAGATGGTAATGTCTAGTTACATGGTACAAATTATTAACTAGTACAAATACCAAGAATTGAGATGTCTAAAATTACTACGAGGCGGACCTGATTCCATCTAATAGTAAAAAAAAACCTTTTTGCCACTTCCACATTTGCGCCTCACGTCACTGGTTGAAGTGTATTTCTTTTGTTTAGTTGTATAGCAATGTGTTACTAAGAAATCTTTACTTTTGATTGATTTGGTTGGGTTTCATATTTTGTTTACTTTTTTACAAACCTACAAAACTATGCAAAGCAAAGGTTTTTACGCTGAACATACCTACATATATTGATCAAATTAAATACTTACGTATAATTATGACTCTAAATTAACTTGACATAAATTATACAGTAAAAAAGCTAAGGATTTAATTTTTTTCTAAGTTGATTAAATTATTTGTTAAATATGACCTATCTGATATCAATTTACTATGCATTTTTCACATTTCACAATACAGCAAGTTATGACGTTATGGGATTATTGCTTGGGATGGAACTTACATTACACACATAAATTCATTAAATTGCAAGAAAAAATAACCGAATAAATGTTTAACAAACCCAACATTCCTAGTCCCCCTATCATCCGAAAATTTCTTATGGTATTTTATCCCGCTACTGAGAGAAATTTATTTGAACATTCCCAGACTCTCAGAAATTGAATTACCAAAGACAAAAAGGAAGACTGGAAAGAAGAACTTTATATTCCATAAATTATTTGATAAATTCCTAAAATTGCAATAACTATAATAGATTAAAATCATACTGACTAAAATGTATTGAACAAGGGTAATAGCTAGGTGACACATATTTGGGTCGATAATTAATAAAATAATAGCAGTAAATTACAATGTAGACACACCTACACACGATTTTTTGTAACCCATTGAAGGCTACGTAATACATGTAAATATTGAATAAGAAAAGTGAAATAAATATATGTACTGTGATCCTTTTTTTTTTTAATTTTTCGGCTTGGGTTAATTTAACTTAATTTAGTTGTAGACTTTTAGTATGCATTTTTTATGTTAAATTTGGGGTTCACTTGAACTTACTTTGTGTACCTGGTAAAATACAATAAACATTCTTGATCAGCACGCTGAGGTGTACAAAATTTCAAGAAAATCGTAATTGTGCGCCCTAAAGTAATCAATTACTCTTTAATAGATATCTATGTATGAGTATTATTATGTTTATAAGCTTTTTTTAATATAATTTAAAACTCTTGATCAAGTAAATAAATTTTAGCTGGATAAGTATGCTTCTCTGAGAAACATTACCTTCAAAGTAAAACAGTAAGTGATAATTAATTTAAACTTTTTATTAAAAAGAACACAACTACAAAAGAATTATAACATTTGTAACATACGTGGCAATATGCAACGCAAAAGGTACATTTATATAACATTTAATTTTATACTTAAATTAATTCGTCTTAACCTCTACTTCATCCGATGTAGAATCACTGCTGTTGCTACTACTACTGCTACTCTTAATTGCTTTTTTAGCTGGAATAATGTAATTAAAAGGCCTTCCTAACTTGGTATATACTTCTTTAACCCTAAGAACTGCAGTACGATTCAAATTTTCAATGTGCACGTCTTTTAGACATTCTTCAAAAGTTGTTACGACTTCGTTGTTTTTTTCTTTTGCCACTAAAATATCCAACAAGCAGGAATACGCGTTACCCAGAGCACCTTCCGTCACTTGAGCTGTTTTTAAGTGCCTAATTAGTTTTTCTGCAATTATTTCATCTTTGGAGTCCCTGGCATGTTGGATAACCCTTTGAAACATGATTCTGGGTGAGTCTTGAAGGTATTTGTTCCATATTTCTTCAGCTTTGGCTTTATTTTGTTCTGTAAAGTAGTAAGACCACAGAACGTTCATAGGGGCAACTATTCCACGTTCGGCGTATTTAATTGCTAACTTTTCAACTGTAAAAGAAAAAGACATGTAGTACTTACGTAAATTTTTTATGAAAGAACACAATTAAAAAAAGTTTAAACTTACATCTGTCCACTAATTCAGGACATTTTTCCAATATTCCGATGGCACCACCACGGGGAAATTTTTCGGCTACTGCGTTTAAATCGGCATCCGTTGCTTGGTCAAGTTCAGTTTCTAAAGAATCCAAATATTCTGCGGCCTTTCCTGCTACTAAGTAGGCGTGACAAACACGGTTATCAAAAGATACAAGTTTCTTTAAATCAGAATTCAACTTTGCACTGATTGTCTGTAATGTTTCTATATCTCCTTTCTGAGACAATTTATTCAAGAAGAACCTGAAATAAAAGTGAAGAGTTATTAGTAGTAACCTTATAACAGAGTTGGACAGTCTTTCAGAGCATTGCACTTTAAAACGTGCTTTCAATCTTTCCAGGGTGTGAAAGTCAAGCCCCATGAACAAGCAGATTTTTGCAATTTGTAATTCAAAAGGCTAAGTACTTAGGAATTTAAAAATCATTGGTAATTCAAAGACATACATTTTAAAATGTAACAGACTTCAAAAGCTAAAGAGATTGATCTCTTTTGACAAGAGCTTTACCCAGATCTGCTTTATAGAATATATAACACTCACCTAAAAACTCTTAAAACAGGTTTGCTGTTATTATCCAATAAATTTAGTGTCAGCTGGGTGGCTTCAGATAGTCTGTCTTTTTGCACTAACGCTTCTATTAACATGGAGACATCATTGGTAGAAAAAGATTGGAGTTTTTGTTTAGAGATTAGAAGAGCCCTATCTAGATCTCCATTCTTAATAGCAGTCCTGGTGTAGAAGAAAGAAATAAAAAATTACAATAGGTTCTTCTATGGGTGTACTTTTAACATACCAATAATTTGAATTTTCAGTTTTTTGGGGTGGTACTCTTTTCAAAATTTTAACCGTACTGCGTTCATTTGCCGTCGTTTCTTCTGCCAATGAGTTATTAGGAATGGTAAATGGAACAGGAACATTGTTTGCCTTTAGAAATGTTCCTAGCTTATATAAAAATTGATCAGTAGGTGCCATGTCTTCTTCTTGCATTTGCATCCACAGTCCCTGGGCTTTTTCCACATTATTTTGCTTAATGTAACTCAAAAGAAGCTGATGGTAAATGTCGGTACGATTGATATGATTCAAATCTTTTGTGGCTTCTTTCAAACCTTCTAATGGTTTAATAAGACCTTCTTCACGATATCGTTGACAGGCGTTGTTTATTTTATGTGTGCGGCTTTGAAGTCCTGGTGTTTCCAGAATCTTTCGAGCTTGACGTATTCGACCACATTCAACAAAGGCAAAGACCAAGTCATATAAGCTATTAATTTCACCATGAACAGACGTACTCAAGTCAGTTAATTTTTGCAATTTTTCTGCGTCTTCAGCTTGGATCAACCTGAAAACATAAAGAAAGAAATTTCACTTATAAAATTTATACAGAGCAAACCAAAAAAATTCAAAAGTGAAAATTGTAATACCTGCAAGTCAGTTCGTTCTTCCATGGAGTGGCTTTGAACCTATTGCAACATTCTTCAAATTTATCAAGTGCAGATTGTATGTCATTATTAATCAAATGAACCTTTATCAAAGGACCAAGTATCATATTATTCACATCTAAGTAACCATTCTTAAACAATGTATCAAATAAAATTTGGAGTTCCTTAACTTTTCCTTGTTCTGCAAGGTAATTTAATGTTCTAAAGCATAAGGTATTATACCCATACTCGTTTTCATTAGACTGTTCCTTCTTTTGACTTTCCAATAAAGCTATACCTTCATCAAAATGGTCATTTCTAATCAATAAATTTGCAAGTCGAAGTGTTTTACTATTATCCAAATGTTCATCGTTGAACTCTTTAAATTTTTCATAATGTTCAAGAGCTTTATCTAATTTATCATGGTAACAATATAAGTCTATCATTTGGGCATGAGTACCACAAGAATATTGAAAACCTTCAGCTTCCATCTCTGGAAGGAGATTTTCAGCCTTCTCTAATTCTTTAGCACGGCAATATAATGTAAGTAGTTGTCGTTTTTGTCCCAGACATTCCTGATTTTTGGCTTTTAAGTTTTCAACAAGTCTTTCCAATTGCAGTACGTTCATTTTGTGAGAAGGTACATATGATGGGGGTTTTCGAATTAATGGTGCAGGCACAAGTTCTCCCGAAGTAAGTCTATCCAAAAGTTTGGAAATATTATCGTTCATATTCTCCCCTAATTTATCCTGAATTTTTTCTGCAACTGTATTACTTATACTGAGACCTTGTTCTGCAATTCCTTTAAGAACGTCTTCAATTATTTCGGGAAATACGATTCGGTTATTACTCAGATCTAGAATAAAACTACCAATGACTTCATTCTTATCCAGCGACGGTTTCGTTTGTTCGTCTTCATGTAAAACGGTATCTCTTCTTTCTAGATTTTCATAAACGTGTCTTAAGAGATTAACGTAAGAATTAACGTCTTTTGTATTATAGAAAGCATTCGTTAGAGGACGTTTTATTATATTCGGATGGTAGTAAGCATCCACTCTACTCGCTATTATTGCAGCTTCATCAATATCGTTTCGAAGTAATAATGAATGAACGAGGTTACATGCGGAGCTTCCTACAGAAATGTTTGCTTGTCTTAATTTTGATATAATTTCGCTACTTTTGCATTTCAAATTTGGTATAACATAATCTTTTATTGTTTCATAAGTTGCAGAAACATTAAATTTGTTCATTTCCTGTAAAACATTGATTATTTCATCGCCAGTCGGATCACTGGCTTTGGCTACTAAAAGGGGCCAAAAATAGTGTGGTCTTATATCCATGCCTTTGTCTTTCATTTCCTTGAGGATAGGATATGCTATTTTTTCATTAGTCAATTGTAGTGCTGTTTCAGCAGCTACATGTAATCCTCTGTCATTTAAGTTTTCATTTTGTAACCAATTACAAATTTCTATTATTTTCTCTGGACTTCTCCCAATTTTAACTAACTGTTTAATAATAAAATTTCCAGTGGTTTGTAAAGTGCCATCAGCTCTTGTGTTTCTTGACATTGTTTTTAGTATCATTAAAGCCACATCGTCTTGATCTTTGTTAATCAGCCTTAGAATTGTATTTATAGCATCCTGATTATATCCTATTGCCTTTCGGGTCTTCTCTAAAATAAAAGGCACATGATCCTTATGATCACTTATTGCCAAACTGTAGATGACTTCCAATAAATCTTTATCCAGGAGGAATATTTCTTTACTTTCACATTCATCTAATACTTTTTTTATTGCTCCTATGTCACCTGCTTTAGCATAACCACAAAGTAAAGTTGTGTAGGTGTCTTCAGTGGGCTCTAGTCCTGCTTGGGTCATGACTGCAAGTATTCCATGAGCAGATTCCATATCACTAATAAAAATTTTGTTAACTATATAACATTTTTCATAATAGAAACATACCCTGCCTGTGCATGTCCCATGATGAGAGCATTAAAAACACTTTCATTAACAGGTAATTGTTTTTCTCTCATAAATTCAAGGATCCTTGTGGCACCTTCTATATCACCAAGTTGACAGTACCTGGCAATCAATCTTTGATAGGTGACACGATTTGGTTCAATTCCTTTAGATTCCATCTCACTCAAAAATTCAGTAGGTGAAAAAGAATATTCATTTTCCAAATATACCCTCAAAAGTGCATTGTAGTGTGACACATCTACAGGAATATTCAACTTTTGAAGTGTTTGCCATATTTCTTGGACTAATTTCGTTCTTGTTTCTGGAAGTTCCTCTGGTACAAGATTTCCACAACATCGAATGACCAGTAGAGATTGTGAAGTAGTAGCAGTACGTGAATTACGTAATTCTTCCAGAATGTCTTCAATATCTTGTCGGGATATTCGGCCTGTTCGACGTACCCCTTGATCGATTTTACGTAAACCATATTCAAGGCTTGAATCATGTTGAACTGTCGCCTGTGTTGCTAACGATCTATGATCATAAAAAATTGCAATGGTAGGCAATATATTATACAATATGATTTACCTTGGTAAAGATTGACAAATACAGTGATTTGAGCCAAGTACATTGTAATCAAACTCTCGAGGTGGATTAATAACAACATGACGAGCAAATCCCGCTATATAACGTGCAAACTTAGAAGAACGAAGAATGCAAGACATATCTGTTATATAATGGGCTTTTACGCGCTTTTATTGTATTTAATTCTGTAAAATAGGGAAATAGTTGTGTAATTTTCTGTTTAACCAAGATACGGTGACTTTAATGGAAATTTGAGGTTAGTAGATAGATTGGTTAGTACCTTAGGTTAGTACGGTTAGTTTCATAGATAATAAATAGTAGTAATCATAGGTAGTAATAGTATGAATTATTAGTACGATATCATAGATTAAAGGATGATTATTAAATGTATCAGTCACGTGAATCTGGCACCTGATATAAATAATCCTCCGATTTAAACTTTACTGGTTCTAAACATAGGTTCTAAATATGTAACAGTAAGTAGGGTAATTGTGTGTCCATTAATTTCATTAAAGAAAAAGGAAAATCCTTCCAAGTGTAGGTGGAAATAATGTCGATTTATTAAAAAACTACTGAAGATATCATAATTTAATTGACGCCAATCGCGTCATTTCTGTTTAAAGGTTGAGCTATTATGGAAAACAGAATTTATCTTTATATTATTTATTAGTAATAATACTTAATTTTTCCATGGCATTATTTTGAACATATCTATGATTCACTAGTGGCGCACGCTAATACTAATATCAATGAAAAATTTAGTATTATACTTATATTACTAACTAGCTGTCCCTGCAGACTTCGTACTGCCCCAATCGATATATAAAAGACCTAAATTTTTGTATAAAATAAACTTAGTTGACAAATGTCAAATATTATGGTTGCGTTCAGAAATTTAATTTGACAGAACTTAAGATTTATCAATCTACATAAAAATAATCTGAAAGATAGTTAACAACTTTCATATTTATTCACCTTTTAAACCTTCCCTGGACTTCCACAAATAATTCAAGACCAAAATTAGCCAAATCGGTCCAGCCGTTATCGAGTTTTAGCGTGACTAACGAACAGCAATTCATTTTTATATATATAGATAAATAATATAAAGATAAATTCCGCTTACCATAATAGCTTACTCGTCAAGCACAAATGACGTGCAATCGATTGACGTCAATCAAATTATAGCATTTTCAACAGTTTTTGAATAAACTGGCATTGAATTTCCACCTGCACTCGAAACAATTTTCCTTCTTTTAAGCACAATTAATGGACGCACTATTATGCTACTTAGATATTCAGAACCCGCAAATGACGCGCAATATAAAATCTAAATATATGTATAAAATGCTAATGTGCGTAGAGTAAAGACAGGGTTTTCTCTATCACCACCAACTCCTATCAACTTCCCGTTGGGGTGGTAAATACCCCTTGGTCTCCTGCTGAAAGCAAGGGTGTTTGGTCGCGGTGGGTGGAAGTGAATGGCGAAAATGTGAAAAAATACATATCTGTCCTTTTCTAACTTGTGGGACCTTTTGGAAAGTTCTAGAAATTTCTTAAATGATCCAGAAAACTCCAGAATGTATGCAAATGTTACAATCGATCTAGAATGTTCTAAAAATTTTTGGAAGGATTTAGAATGTTCCAAATTATGTGCAACTGTTAAAATCGATATGAAATGTTCCAGAAAGTTCTAGAAATATCTGGAAAGTTCGACTCAGGAAACCGGGGGTAACTCTCTCAATATCTCAGATAGAAATCTATATTATCTACGTTAAGAAGTGGATCCTTAAATGTTTTAAATACCATTAAACATGCGATGTATTTTAACCCGAGCAACGCCGGGTTTCGCTGCTAGTAAATTATAAAATTGTCCTTAAACTCTTGCTTCGAATGTAAATACACAGAACAACGGATGGTGTTACGAATCAAATAAAATTTTCATTTTCGGCGAAACGTGGTTCCTTACAAGAAATGTTTTTTTAGGTAATGAAGATAAGATTCGCATTCAGTAAAACTAATGTTTATATACAGGACGTTCAAAAGCTTGTGCAATAAAAGGAATTAAAATACATCAAATATCAATGAGCACTACACTACAAGCGAGAAAGATAAATTAGTCATTAAGTTGAATTTTTTGATCGATAGAGAAAACGTTATTTCTTTTTGCCTGTAATATTTATATTCGGGATTGTTTAACTTGTCCTACCAATAAACGTGCTTATTACGATAATGTTTATTTAAATTAAATTGAGTGCTATAGAATTATCACAAATTTTGCACAAAACCGGCATTTTGGATAAAAACAAGATTTACAAAACAACAACTAATAACTGAAACCAAGGATACTCTAAAGGGTGATGCTGTGATACTAAATAATAACACACCTTTAACGTATTTCTTATTTCTAGAGATTAAATAGTACAGCTAGATTCATTTATATAGTCAATATGCCCAAATCGTTACACGCGCGCCGCGAAACTCATCACTCTTCTTATTCTCCCGATCTGTCCCGATCATAGATAATAGGTCCCGATCGATGATCCTCTTCGCAAACCGAGACCTTGAGGTCGGCAACCCTATCATAGATGTGCGTTTTCTCGTCGCTGGTCTTGGCAGATGCATGACGGAAGACGAACACCACAATACCATTGATGATGTAACTTCAAATCATCGACGTTTACTAATGGACATGCCTTAGCGGTCAGAATTGTGGTACAACAAAAGAAAGAGATGGAACGAAGTTTCGGACAATATCCATCTCTCTCACGATAGTGCGTAAGCGTATCATGAAAGAGATAGCACTAGTCCGAAACCATACGCCATCTCCCTCACTTTTCGAGCCAAGAAATTATTACAACGACATACGGCTAAGGCACGTTCATTAATATATTACCTCAAGGTATTGAGGAGAAATTGCTGCTGTTGTCACACCTTCGTCGGGAATCGAAACCGGGACCTTTGACTTTAAGCAACAATGCTCTGATCACTAAGCTTGATACTCCACCCAACTATTTACACTACACATTTATTTGAATAATCTATATTCCTCCTGGCTTATTTATACATCAGCCATCGATGAGACAACTGAAAGAACTCCAGCCAGCGTTTTATACGGGAAAGAACTTGGTTTGCCGGCGCACTATCTTCTTCTCTTAATTCTTCTTTCACTTTTTCTTGAGCTGTTTTAATTCTTTTTCTATTTTTATGTCACATTATTACTGCTTCCATTTTATATTTCATTTCTTCTTGTCCCTTTTCCATTTACAATTTTATTTCTTTTTGTGCAGTTTTCATGTATGCTTCCATATGCCATTAAAGCCATCATTTGTTCCTTCATTTTTTAAAAAGAAAGAGGGTGTACATAGGATTTGTAGATTTAGAAAAAGCTTTTGACAATGGGACAAAATGTTAAATATACTTAAAAATGTAGGGATCAGTTACAATGATAGAAGAATGATACTTAGTTTGTATAAAGAGCAACAGGCAGTTATAGAGCTAGGGCTGCAACGTAGAGAAGTAAGTATTAGGAAGGAAGTCAGACAGGGATGCACACTGTCCCCGCTATTATTATAATTTAAGATTGGTCTTCATAATTACTAAATTATGATCGCTATCTGTATCTGCTCCTGGATAACTTCTACAGTCCTTCACTTGATTTTTAAATCTTTGCCTAACAAGTATGTAATCAAACTGATATCTCCCTAAATCACCTGGCATCTTCCACGTATAGCGCCTCCTAACGTGATGGTTTAATAAAGTAAAGTATTCGCGACGGTTAAGTTATGTTTATCGCAAAATACTATTAGCTTATCTCCCCCATCATTTCTATTGCTTAATCCAAAAGAACCTGCTATTGCACCTTTACCTTCACCTATTACTGCGTTGAAATCTCCTAAAACTATTAGGTTTTCCTGTTCTTTCACTAAACTTAACAGGTCTTCTATATCTGCATAAAATGGCTTCTACGTCTTCGTCACTGTAAGATGATGTAGGCATGTAGAGTGACACTAATACCGTTCTTAGTGGCTTTGAGTTTAATTTAACCATAATTATCCTATCGTTTTTTGTAAATAACGACGTTTACTAATGGACATGCCTTAGCGGTCAGAATTGCAGTACAACAAAAGAAAGAGATGGAACGAAGTTTCGGACAATATCTATCTCTCTCACGATAGTGCGTAAGCGTGTCATGAAAGAGATAACACTAGTCCGAAACCATACGCCATCTCTCTCACTTTTCGAACCAAGAAATTATTACAAGGACTTACGGCTAAGGCACGTCCATTATTATATGTCTATGAAACATAGGAACATCATAGGAAAGAGTTAAGTAGTAGTATCAAAACAGTATTTATTTCTCTAATCTATGGTAATGATCAGTAGTGATATGGTAGTGATGATTGTTTTTAGATATCTTCGCTTCGCATTAAGTTACTCCTATCTTGGTTCTTCTTGATATCACTTTAAAAATAACTGTTGTTAATGACAACAACCAACAACAACTTATAACTTTGGGCTCGAGACGAAAAGGAAAAAGTCGTGCAAATGCAGAGGATACTGTACGTTCCGGGTTGTGTATTGGGGAACGGGGAAATATAATGTGTATGCACTCCATTGTAGTTAGTTGTTAGTTTAACTTAGTATGACTGTTACTTGTTAGCTTTAACCTGAAACGTATTTAACAAAATACTTAAATGAAGACAAGTAATTAGAATAATGACTCAAAAAGTAAATATTTGTCGATTTTGTTTATCAGAATCAAACAGCGTGCTTCAAATACTTCGCAGTGAGCATAACATTGCGGAAAAGGTAGAACAACTTACATCAATTAAGGTTATTTATATATTTTCTTCAATGTAAGCTATAAAAACTGCTAATTTAAACTTTGCAGATCTTGAGTAATGATAAATTGCCCAAAACAAGTTGCTTAAAATGCATTGAAAATATCAACAGAGCTTACAAAATCAGACAGAACATAATAATAGCTCACAGATGTCTACAACAAAAATATTACCAAATTTGTAGAAATGCTGTTAGAAACAGTTCCCCTCAGCAAGAATGTATTAATAAATCGTCTATTAAATCTCCAAATGCTCCAGAAAAGCCTGCTATTCAGGTTGGTAAAATAAATCCATCTAACCAATCAAACATCACAGAAAGTGGAGATTCTACTTTAGACAGTCCATTTGAGACAGTATTCCTTCCCAGAGTGAGTAAAGGTGAGAATGAAGTCACTATCAATATAGATGAAATAACTGAGGCTGAAGAGCAAAGGATTATAAAAAAAGCAGGATCTATAGCTGATGTTGTTAAACAGAGTGAAAAGCACAAATTTATACAACAGAGGTTACATCAACAGAAACTACAGCAAGTAAGTCAAAGCCTTTTTTTAATATTTTTAGAAATAGTTTTACATTATTTGATAGTCAAGTCTTTAGTTAATGTGATATTCAACAGTACCATCTACGACTTTTGCAACAACAGAGAATTCATTTGGCAAGGATCCAATTGCAACAACAACGTTTACAAAAACTTCCATTGACACAGCAAAAAAGACAATTAGAACTGCAGAGATTGCAGCAGTTGCAAAGACAAAAGTTTAACATACAACAGAAACAAAGACAAATTTCTGCTGCACTAAAGCAAACCTTTAACACTCCAAGTAATAAAGTCGAAAAATCGAGTCCTCTTCCTCAAAAAGCGCCACTTTTACCAAGAAAATGTGAAGTATGTGTTGAGACATTTGATGATGATTATGCATATAAGTTGCACATGAAAAAGCACCAGAGCAAGACCTGTGACCTCTGTAATGTTACTATTCGTGCAGACAATTTTAAAAAGCATATGGATAATGTCCACAAAGATGAACCAGCCGTTTGTGAAGTTTGTGGCAAAGTGGCCAAAAATAAAGAAAGTCTAAGGGGACACATGTACTATATTCATCTTAACAGGAAGACATTTCAATGTGAACATTGTAATAAATATTTCCAATCAAAACATGGGTATTTGCATCATTTGAAGAAAACTCATTTAGGTAAGAAAGAAAAGAATATTATTTTTAAGATTCACATTATACCAGTTGTTTGTTGTAGGTATTAGAAACCAACAATGTGATATATGTGGAAAAAAGTTTTATTCTAATTATGATCTGAAAAAGCACATTAATATGACTCACAAAGGCTCAAGGCCACACATTTGTCCCTATTGCAGTAAGGGCTTTTCTAGTACCAACGCACGAAAAGTGCATATGCGTCAACACACCTTAGAAACTCCATACAAATGTGAAGAATGTGGAGGTGGTTTTCGGCAAAAAGTTTCTCTTAAAACTCATATGAAATCTAAACACAATTTAGATTTGAAGGAGGTGGAAGCTACCCAGATAAAATTAAGTAGCGAGGAAGTCAAAGTTGAAGAAGAAACAGTTTGGAAAAAGGATTATTCATCGGATTCAAAATAATCTCCATACTCTTTTTTTTATTTTTAAGTGATGTATAATTTCTTTGCTTATGCAGCTAATTTTTTCTTATTGTTGCTTTAGCAATATAGGAAATTCTATTGAATACATAATAAGTGTATTTTCTACATATACTTTAAACGCAAGCAGTGGTTTTTAAAAAACTATTTATTCACTTTAAAATATAGACGAATATAACGTAACATTTTTATAACGAGTGCTTTATGTTTTAAAATTTAATATTACAGAATGTTTAATTATATTTAAAGTTGAAACTTTGAAAAACAATTTTCTCAAAAGAGTAATTTAATTTCCGAAGTTTTTTTTAAGAAATATAAATGTTATCATTCACTTTTATTTAAAAAATTACTCTTCATGAACTCATTCATTATGCAACAAAAACCACGAAAAATATGAAGAAAAGAATTAGTACAGCAAATATTTTTATCATTAACCATCTGTTGTTAGTTACTGATCGAAAATATTTCAGAATTTGAGCATGAGCTGCTTCAATGTTAAGTTCCGCGTCCTGGACATTAGTATCGATCCTTTCAACCATTTCTTCCTGTTCTTTCACCATATGTGCTAGCTGTTGGAAAATTCCACCCAATTCTACTATAGTTGACTCAATATTTTGCATAGTTTCTGCTCTTTCACGTAAATAATTGTCTGTTTCATCATAATATATAGCTGCCTGCATCTGGGTACTTTTAGGAACCAAGGGAGCATTCTCCAAATTTATACTAACTTGGTCCTGCTCTTGAAGTAAAACACTACCTGAATTTAAAATAAATATTTAGATACAGCAACTTGCCTTGACCCATTTTTCATACATAAATGAATAAATACATTAAAAACTGATATTAACCTTGATGATACCCAGAAACAGTAGAAGGAGGTAAACTACTACTCAAGGGCACTTGTGAAAATTGTTCTCTTCTGTTTTTCTGATGTTTCAAGTTCTCTGTTCGAACTTCCAAAATTTGTTTAAAGTCTGTTGACATGGATGCTAACTTAGATTGCAGAGCTAAGACTACACTGCTAGCATGAGACTGTAAATGCTTGCCACTTTGTTTTTGGCTTTTGGAGACATCTTGCAATTGGGCAATTTGTTGATTTAAACTATTTAAATCACCTTTAATGATATATGTTAATTCCTGTATTTCAGCTGAACGATCGTCAAAAAGAGACTTTCTTTTAGCCACTACAATACAAAAAATTATAAACAACATATACAAAACTGACTATTAACAGATAATTTTTGGTATAATAGTAGGTAATAGGCAATGTATGCTTACACAATGTAAGTTTTTCAAGTTTTGCATAAGTGTTAGCTATATTTTTTCCAACATTTCTTGCAATGAGCATAAATTCTGAATGTCCCTGGATCACTTTTGCTTTCCTTGGATCTTTTACAGCAACAGCCCTTGAAATATTGCGACCTTGTAGTGACCTTATGGTATTTACAAATTCACTTGTTCTATCCCTTGAAGTCATAACAGCTTCCGGTTCAGTAATATCTTCTATAAAATTATCACTATCTAGCTTATCTTCAAGTTCATAATTACTGTAACTGTAAAAGTTGGATTTTTGTTGAGACCATGAACCACGATCTCCTACAATAACCGTTGTTTCTGTTTCTGAACCAGTTCTTCGTCTCCTAGGGTGCATTGCATTCTTATTAACAGAAAATTAAACAAAACAAAACTTGAGTACTCCTTTAAGAATGAACTGTTACCAGTGTATTAAATTAATCCAATCAAATCATCTTACGATTTTGATAAGGATAAAGTAATTATGAAGCATCTAAAATATTAGACAAAATAAGTAAAATAATCAACTTTTTTTAACTTGTTTAAGGTACTTTATTATATTACACGTCACTCAATCTTTAGTTCTTGTTGGTTAAACAAACGTCATTTTCGATTTTACGTCAGGAAATTCAAAAATTAAATATAACTGTTCTTGAATTTGTGCACGAGTCTGTCGTAAAATGTTTATTTATATATTACTTTTGTGATATATTCATCATGTCATTAAGAAGTAAAGTAATCACTTTATATAAGAATGTAATCAATGAATAACTATTTTTGGATCTTTCTGTTTGACTTACTGATTTTAGCTGTTACATCTTGGAAAGGATTGGCCAACGGGGTATGACTTTTTTAGACATAGACTTCATAAGGCATTCACAAAAAATAAGGACGTTAATGATCCCGAAGAAATTAAAAAATTAATTAAGCATGGAGAATTTGTACAAAAAGAAATTGAAGCATTGTATATGTTGAAAAAGTATAGAACATTAAAGAGAAGATATAACATAGGAAACAACAGTCCACAGCAGTAAGATAATTTGTATAAAATTTACTCAATTATATTTAACATATACTTAATACTTTTATGATTTATGTTAGAATTAGAAAACCTTATAAAGCATAATTATTTACCATTGGACCTTAGTGGTCAATTAAATAAGGAACTCTTGGGGATGGGTAATGGTAAGGGCACTGTAATATTATGTTAACTTTTAATATTTATTCAGATAAGTCGTAGAAAAAATGACTAATTTATGGTAAAAAACCGATATTTTTCGACTGACGCAACCGTAGACGGTACGCCACTGATGCGACCTTTGTATGCTATCATAGATAATAGACATAGATAATAGATCTACAAAGGGTAATAGATGGTCAACTCGAAATGCGCCGATTTGCGCGCCCTCCGGCAGGTGTAGTCAATACTAAATAAAAAAGGCGCGCACTTTAAATTTGTTAGTTACTTATTGTTTTTCGTAATGTATAAGTTAAAGTGAAAAATGGATAAGAAACAATGTATTTTCCTTTTTTATAAAAGAAAAGACATTGTCTCTTTTGTAAAAAAGGAAATACATTGTTACTTGTCCATTTTTCACCTTAACATAAGAATTTGGGAATTTTAAAGTGTAAAAGTAATAATAAGTGAAATAGTAAAAAAAATTTATTGAATGTTAACAAATACACTTGTACAAAATAAAATATTTTATGTAATTTGAAGAGACAATTGAGGAAATAGAAAAGGCCACAAAACAGAAGAAACAGTAATACAGTTTAACAATTTTTAACTAAAACCTTTCAATAATGTACAATTAACATTTTGAACACAAGATAATTAATAATGAAGGTAAAAAATAGTTGTAGCAACTTACGTGTTCAGATAGAAATTGATGCCGAACACTGAAACAATATTGAAGAAAAGGGGTTGTAAACAATTCCAAATTACTTAATACCAGCGAGTGGGTAGTGGAAATAAATGGCTATTCCGCCCATCTGAGAACACCAGCAATAAAAGTCATTAGATCGTTTAGTTTTTTTTTTTTTTTTTTTTTTGTGGAAGAGGGGAAATCTTCGAAAGACACCCAGCCGTCCGTACGACTGGGTAGTGTTGGATTCCCTCACAGGAGGACCTACCAACTAAAATCCCTCTCCCGTATAATAGGTTTTGCTAGGAATGGTACACCTAAAAATAAAGAATTAATAATAAAAATCTTTACATGGTACATACGAAATGCTGTGGTAAGTAATTTTTGCAGAAGCGTCATGCAGAAGGATGGATCGAAGTCAAAACTGAAGAAGGAACGTCATCGTTGGTGACTGTGAAAATAATGCAAATTATTGTTACAAAATACCTTGTAAAAAGTCCCAAGTATGCATAAAAATTGAATATTACTGAAACTATTCAGCAACATTTACCAAAAACTGTGTTAGGACAAATTAAAGGGATGCTAGTAGAGTGGCGAAAATTATCTCTGACTGTGAAATCTGTAAAAA